ACACAAGGTCAGCACCGCTGATCTGGAGGGATGATGATGTGGAGGCAGGGCATGGGTTTGCGGTGTGCCTGGCTGTCCTATACAGTGGGAAGCTCTCTCCTCCCAGCCTCTGGCATTCCATTTTAGGGAGCTGGGGCTCAGGATTAATTTAAGGACATTCTTCGTTGTTTTTTGAAGGTCTTTGAAGGAAATCGCCCAACCAACTCTATCGTGTTCACCAAGCTGACACCGTTTATCCTTGGAGCCTTGATTGGTGGGTAGGGGAAATAACCCGCCTGGGCCCAGTGGGATGGGACTAGGGAGGCCCTAACGCGCACTGTCTGCCACCTCTGCAGCTCTGTACGAGCACAAGATCTTCGTTCAGGGCGTCATCTGGGACATCAACAGCTTTGACCAGTGGGGGTGAGTGTGGCTGGGGAGGCTGGAAAACCTGTAGGCTTGAGGGTTTCAGCATCAACACTGAAATCTTACCGTCTTCTTCCTCCGCTCCCTGGCAGGGTGGAGCTGGGAAAGCAGCTGGCTAAGAAAATCGAGCCTGAGCTTGACGGCAGTGCTGCAGTGACCTCTCACGATTCTTCCACCAATGGGTTGATCAGCTTCATCAAACAGCAGCGGGAGGCCAGAACTGAATAAACGTAGCTGCAACCCCAGCTGTGACTTGTCCCTCCTTGCTGTAGTCTGCACTGCATGGTCCTGCCCCTCCCTGCCCAGAGCACCCTCTGGTTTCGGGCTTGGACCACAAGCCCTTTGGGGAAAGTTGGTCTGGAATTAACCACCCCACCCTCTCCAGCCCATTCTTCCTGTTTTCCATCACCTTTCGATCACCTGAAGTGCTTCAGTGCAGCTGTATTTTCTCACCTGTTTCACATGGTTCGTATCCCAAGTAGAAAAATAAAGATGACACAATGGAGGGCGTGGGCTCGGCTTCTTACTGTTTCCTAAGAGGGGGCTCACATGGCAGCCGGAGCGCCCAGTGGAGGAACAGTATGCTTCAGCTCACACTTGGCTGTTAGTGGTGAGCAGGCCTAGGGTGGAACACGAGAGAACAGGGTGGGCTGGGACACAGGCAGTCAGGAGGGCATTTTGGCCTCTAATCAGATACCAGCTCGACTTCCTTCCATGCCTTGCCTCTGTGACTTCCGAAAGATCACCTGTTCTGCTCACTGAATAGTTTTTCAAAGCACAGTAAGATTATGACTATTTCACATGAATTCTTGGTCATGACAAGGGTATGTCTCATCTTCTGACCAGGTACTTCACTAATTCTTTCCTTTTATAATTAATTGCCTTTATATCTTCTCAAGATAATAGATAATGAATAGGTATGGTGGTGGATAATCCCAGCACTCTAGGGGTTGAGGCAGGAGGATTGCTGAGAGTTAAAAGGTTTTAAGAGTAGGAAGTACTTATTTGGGAAAAGAAAGCTGCTAAGAAGGACGGAAGGGGTCCCAAGTGGTTGCCATGGGACCCTACTTCTCAAGGGAGTTTTATAGAGCAAAACTAAAAGGTGAGGTACATATAAGGTGGGACAGAATTGTAGTTAATAGGATTACAAGTATAGTCACTGAAGTAACACTGATCCAATGAGAAATTATAAGGTGGGGCAAAACTATGGTCAACCAGCAAGATTACAAGTATAGTTGCTTAGGTAATATTGATTACATGGGGAAGGAAGTCACAAAGCAAGTGTACATGGATTGAACAAGAACTTCCTGGAAGGGAGAGGCCAGGGAGCTTGTCCCCTACCCAAGGTGATGGATGCCTGTTTGGAATATGTGGGGGGTGTTATTAATCTGTGGTGAGGTCTGACCTTCAGTGAATGTGCCTCCAGCCACAGTTATCTTCTGCACTGACCTCTCAAGGGTCTAGCCCTGTCTGATTGTTTGTTTTTTTGTTTTTCTTCCAGTACCAGGAATCAAACTTATGACCTTGTGCTTGCCAGACAGGCACTGTGCTGCAGAGCTAAATCCCCAGCCCCAGCCCTGTCTGATTGCCTATAATTCTGTTATCCCCCCACCAAGACGGGGGTCCCGAGTGGGTGCCTTGACTTTCATTTAGAGTCAGTGGACAGGCTGGATACTGTGACACAGGCCTATAATCTCATCTACTTAGAAAGCTGAGGAGACAGGATCTAAAGTTTGAGGCCAGCCTGAGCATTACAATAAGACCTAGCCCCCGTAAACAAAAGAAAAGGACGTTTGGAGATACAGCTCAGTAGAAGAGCACTTCCCCGGCACTTATGAGGCCCTAGTTCAGTCTCGAGTGCCACCTAAAAAGGGTCAACAGTCAGCACTGATGGGCAGGCTAGACGCTAGGCTGCAGCACCCACACCTGAGATCATGGTCTAGAATGGTCTGGGTGGGGAAACTGCTGCTCCCAACACTCAGCAGAACTGCCTTTGCCCCATCTGCTCCCGGGCCACCCACTTCTCTTTTTGAGACAGTCTCCCTATGCATTTCAGGCTGGCCTTGAGCTCACTTTGTAGCCCAGGCTGGTCTCGAATTCTCAACCATCCTCCTGCCTCAGCTTCTCAAGTGCTGGGATTACAAGCGTGCATCACCATGCCCAGCTGGGGCCACCCACTTCTGAATTACATTCTAGCTTGGTTACATGCCTTTCTCAAAACAGGGACAGCCAGGATTGGTATTTTCTGCTCTTAGGAGGAGGAAGGCAAACACCTATAGGACTCAGAGTGAGGGTTACCCTAATTATAGAAAGTGACCACCCCTTCATGAATGTCCACTAAAAATATACTCAGATACTGGCACTTTCTATGGGTGCAGTGATTTTTTGTTTTGGAGATTTTCTTCTGATTTTTTGTTGTGTATGTTTAATATATTTTGGTTCCAAATGTGAGTGCCCTTTCCTCCTGATCTTTGTAGAGGTAGCAGACATTCTTTGACCATCAAGCTCTGTTGTGGGCTCCAGTGACCCACCTCCTTCATTTTCTGTGTGTGTTGGTGGTGGAACCCATGACCTCTTGCAAGCTAAACTGCCCTACCACTGAGCTATACCCCTTCTTTTTTTTTTACTTGTTTGGGGTTTTTTGTTGTTTATTTTATATATACATATATATAATCACAGGATCTATCTGTCTATATCTTGGGTCACATTAGGTAAAATAATAATATGTATTTGTTAATTCATCCCTCTTTGGCTAGAACCAAGTGAACATTAATATTGGGACTTGACAGAGCCTTTTAAGGTTGTCTGGTGGCTGGTTTCATCTCCAGGTAGCTGGGGCTGGAACCAAGCATAACAAGACTGGTGCTTCTTCCTTTGATGTGTAAGTCTTTGATAACACGTTTCATGTACATGACATGATAGGAATCTTTAAATACTGCTTTTGCAATTTATGTTTTTAAATTTATTTACTTATTTATTTGTGGTATTGGGAATTTAACCCAGGGCCTTTGCCCTGAGAAACATCCCCACCCCTTTTTATTTTTTATTTTGAGGCAGAGTCTCAAGTTGCCCAGGTTGGGCTTGAACATGCAATTCTCCTGCCTCAGCCTCCTAGAGTGTTGGGATTACAGGTGTGTGCTAGCACACTCAGCCACAATTTAAATTCTAAATTCTTTAAATGTCAGGTTTATTGTATAATTTACATATAGTAAAACTCACCTTTCTTTGGTAAACAATTCTGAATATTAAATGTAGTATATAGTCAGTGATCACAACGGGGATATTTAGCCTGCCCTCACCTCAAAAGTTCATGGCACCCCTTTGTGATCAATCTCCACACCCTGAATCTTGGGAACCATTGATCTGTTCTCTTATACTTAAATTTTGCCCTTCCCAGAACACAGCCTTTTGTCTGGCTTCTTTCCTTTAGTATAATGCTTTTCAAATTGATTGATGCTGTCCCACAGGCATGTGAAGACTTTATTATGGAGCCGGGCGTGGTGGCGCACGCGCACACCTGTAATCCCAGCACTTGGGAGGCTGAGGCAGGAGGATCGATGTGAGTTCGAGGCCAGCCTGGGCTACAAAGTGAGCTCAAGGTCAGCCTGAACTGCATAGCAAGACCCTGTCTCAAAAAGACACACACAAAAAATTATTATGGAAAATTACCAACACATAAATGTTGAATAGGGACTGGGATGATACAGCTCAGTGGTGCAGAGCCTGCCTGGCAAGCACGAGGTCCTGAGTTTGATTCCCAGCACCCCGCCTCAAAAAAAAAGTTGACGAGTATAATAAATAAACCTCCTATATCTGGCATGAAATGTTAACAATTACCAACTCAGGGCAAATTTTACTGCACTGACAACACTCCTTTTTGTTATAGCAAACCCAGATTTATACACACACACACACACACACACACACACACACATATACACACACACATATAGTCTGTATGCATTTAAGTGTATACCTCTTGATTTTGTTGGGGTTTTGGGTTTTTTGTTTTTGTCTTTTTGAGACCATGCCTCGCTATACAGTTCAGGCTGGCCTTGAGCTCACTTTGTAGCCCAGGCTGGCCTCGAACTCACATCGATCCTCCTGCCACAGCCTCAGGAGTGCTGGGATTGCAGGGATGCACCACCACGCCTGGCTGGATTTTGTTGTTTTGAGACAGGGTCTCGCTACGTAGCCCACTTGCTAGCAGTAGGCTGTCCCCGAACTCACTAGGTAGCCCAGGCCGGCCTCGAACGCGTGTTAATCCTCCCACCTCAGCCTTCTGAGTGCTGGAATTACAGGCGTGTGCCACTACGCCAGGCTTACCTCTCAAATTTCTTGTTTTCCTTTTGTTGTCTGTAGATGCCATTATCTCGCCTAAAATTTTTGTTTTTTGGCTAGGCTGATTTCATAGGACATGGTGTGTGGTTTTTGTTTGTTTGTTTTGGGGTTTTTTTGTTTATTTATTTTTTTTTTTACGGTACCGGGAATCGAACTCACGATCCCGCGCTTGCCAGGCAGGCGCTGTGCCGCTGAGCTAAATCCCCAGTCCCTGTTGTGTGTTTCCTTTCGCAGGACATTCGAAGGCACGTAATTCCTGGGAGATCTCTGATTCCAAACCATGACATCGGCTGTTTGTACATTCGGGAAACCAAGTCCAAGCACTGTACAGTAAACCTAAGCTTCAGCACCCCTGGCGGATCCTAAGCAGGGTCGGGGCCCCCGCTGTGCGACAGACAGTGCGCGTGCGCAGAGAGGTGCAACCGCCCGGCTGCCGTAGTTTTTCTTTTCACGTGCGCTCCTGGCTGTCATGGCGGCCTTTCGGAAGCCTGTTTTGTTAGGGCTTCGGGACGTGGCGGTGCGCGGCAACCCCACAGGGCCGAGCTCCTGGACTGCTAGCAAGTTGGGCGGCGTTCCGGTGAGGACAGGGCCCGCAGCCAGGGTCGGGCGCTGGTGAAGGGTACGCAGGAAGTGGGCGGGTCCTGGTGTACAGTCGAGTCCGAAGCGTCTCACACCCCCTCCTCAGGACGTCCTTCCCGGAGTAGCAGCGCCGAAGCCGGAGTGCGAACGCTGCAGGCAGCCGCTCGCCCTGGTCGTGCAGGTGTACTGCCCCCTGGAGGGCTCCCCGTTTCATCGGCAGCTGCACGTGTTCGCTTGCGCCCGCCCCGGGTGCGGCGACCGCGGGGCGCGCAGGTAGGCGGAGAAGCCGGGGAGGCGCCCGGGCGTCACCGCGAGGGGGCGGTGCTGGGGAGGCGCGCGGGGCCGGGGTTCTCGGGGTGAAGCACTCGCGGCCGTGTCTGTGCTCCGCAGCTGGAAGGTGTTCCGCTCCCAGTGTCTGGAGGTGCGAGAGAGAGAGACACAGGACGCTCAGGTAAAGTGGTTTGATGGCATGTTATGTTGTGCTGCAATACAGTAGAGGATATTTTCCATAGTGTCGTTTAAGACAATTTTTTTTTGTCTTTTTGAGACCGGGTCTCACTATGCAGTTCAGGCCGGCCTTGAGCTCACTTTGTAGCCCAGGCTGGTCTGGAACTCGCAAAGATCCTCCTGCCTCAGCCTCCGGAGTGCTGGGATTACAGGCATGTGCCACCACGCCCGGCTGTAAGACACATTTTTAAGATGCAGGTTTTTGTTCATTTGACTTTTTGAGACAGAGTGTCGCTATATGTACTTCAGGCTGACCTTGAATTCACTATGCAGCCGGGACTGGCCTCGAACTCCCCACCATCCTTTTACCTCAGTCTCAGGAGTGCTATGAGTCACCACGCCAGGCTGTAAACCTTGGTTTTTGAAGTACAATAGCAATGGGCTTTTCTCTTCGAAACCATAAAAGGTTTTCTGAGGTCTTATCATTCACCCTGAACGTCTTGAGACACGTAGTTTACTGATTATTTTTCTGCTGGGAAAATGCATGGCTGTGTACATGTGTATGGTTGTGTGTAATTCATATATGTGTTATATGTAGTTAATGTGAAATGAACACATGTACCTTTGTTTTTGTTTTGTTTTGTTTTGTTTTGTTTGAGACAGGGACTCCCTCTGTAGCTCAGGGTAGCTTTGAACTATGTAGCCCAGGCTGGCCTTGAATTCGTGGTGATCCTCCTGCCTCAGCTTCCCCCGTGCCTGGCTCATATGTACCTTTATGACAAACACATTTAAGAAGATGAAATCCAAGTGTTTTTGTTTGTTTGTTTGTTTTGGAACTGGGAATTGAACTCAGTACCTCACTTTGGCCAGGCAGGCACTGTGCCCTTGAGCTATATCAAGCCCCAAAATTCAAGTTTATTGAATTGAAAAGTCAAGGGGTTGGTAACTACACAACAAAATTCAGCCTCCTTTAAAAAAAAAAAAAGGGGGCTGGGGATTTAGTTTAGCGGCACAGCACCTGCCTGGCAAAGCGCAAGGTCGTCAGTTCGATTACTGATACAGGTAAAAAAAAAAAAAAAAAAAAAATTCAGCCTCCTTTAGGCTGTCAAGGTCTCTTTATCTGTACATTGAGTATATGTTTTGGGCATCATATTAGCAGTACAAGGAATAACAAGGATTCAGAGTTCAATTGCAGGTAGTAGGAAAACACTTTCACTCTTCATCTGAGAAATGTAACACAAGTATTTAAGTGATTATTAACTGCTTAAATAGGCTGAAGGAGGCTATTCCAGGGATGACCTCCAGAACGCCTCAGAACCAACCCATCTTCCAGACTACGTCTTGTGCAGTCAGGAAGCTTAAGTGCAATCTTGTGAACTGGAAGCTGCCCTTGACAGCAGAACTGTTGGTTGTTGAGCCTTGGTCTGCTGCCTCAATTTTGCTTCATGGCATTTCTTTCCACTTCATTCTGTCTCAAGATTGTTTCCTCCTGGTGGACTTGCTTAGCAATCCCCTGATCAAATCTGAAACCTTAGTTGTCAAGAAGTCTGGAAAATATTCTTCTGTGCAATACATGAAACACATAAAAAAGATTCTGAATTTCATGGTTGAAGAAACCATGTATTGCATCTGCCATGCTGCCCCTGAAAAGACAAGAATTGAAGTTCCCTCCGACAGGCTTTTGAGTAGATATGCGTGCAGGAAGTGGAATGGGAGTGTGCAGAGGGGAAAGGGCTGGCGTGAAAGCTCCCTCAGGAAGGTGAAGGGATGTGTGAGTAGAACCAAAGGAATAGGTGAAATTACCTAAATGCTTAGACCTTATGCTTTGGATATTCTTCCAGAACCAGGAAAATGACCTTGCCGCTGAGAACTGGTGTGAAGGTACAGATGACTGGGGAAGTGACAGTGAGGAGATGCCTCCGCCACACCTTACTTTGGGTTTTGGAAATGATTCTAACAGTGCCAGAGATGTAGACTGGACTGCCCAGCTCCAAGACCTCCATCTGCAGGACACCTTCCTGTCTGCTGCTCATTCTGCGCCTCCAGCGGAAGGGATGGCCGCCTCTGCTGTGATGCTGCAGTTCCTGCCCTACTACATCTGTGTCGTAGATGAGGATGACTACAGAGACTTTGCTAGTCTAGAGCATGCCCACACCCTTCTGAAGGACTACCAGCAAAGAGAAGGGGTTGATATGGAGCAGTTGCTTTCCCAGAGGTGAGGAAGTATGTGCTGAGGCTGAGAGATGACTTGGTTCAGGAAGCGCCCCCCCCCAGGTACCCGCTGGTTTTGCCTGGGGAAATTTTCAGGAAGAATTCCTGTGCTAGGACCTTTCTGCCTCACTCCTGTTGGCTAAGAAAAGCAGACACACACTCCTTGTCAGCCAGCCTTAGGGAACTTCAAAACACCTGACTGTGTGCATAAATGCCCCCAAGAAAAAGAACCAAGGTAAGCAGAAAGTTAAAGATGCCAAGATTTATGGCTTTATACATGTAATAGACAAGCACTCTGCCACTGAGCTACATCCCCCTTCCCTTCTCTTTTTTTTGGTACTGGGAATCGAACACAGGACCTTGTGCCTGCTGAGCTGTATCCCCGGCCCACCATTCCCTTTTCTATTTTATTTTTTCCCCATTTTCTACTTTAAATATCTTTTTGTCTGTTTGTTTGTTTTATCAGAGATTGAACCTGGAGAGTGCTAAACTACATTTCCAGCCTGCCTTAATTGATTAGTTGATTGATTGATTGAGGTACTAAGAATTGAAGCTAGGATCTGCACACTGAGCTATATCTGAAGCCCTTTTTTCTTTTTTGAGACAGGATCTTACTAAGTTGTCCAGGCTGACCTGGAACTGTAATCTTCTGCCTCACCCTCCTGAGTAGCTGGAATTTCATGCCTGTGCCACCATTCCTTGCTCTGTTTTTAAATATTTTTATGAGAGAGATAGGTGAATTAGAAAAATGCTGTTTCTTTCTTTCTTTCTTTCTTTCTTTCTTTCTTTCTTTCTTTCTTTCTTCTTTTTTTTTTTTTGGTCTTTTTGAGACAGGGTCTCACTATGCAGTTCAGGCTGGCCTTGAGCTCACTTTGTAGCACAGACTGGTCTTGAACTCGCAGTGAACCTCCTGCCTCAGCCTCCTGAGTGCTGGTACAGGCATGTGCCACTGTGCCCTGCGCTGTTTATTTCTTCACTCTTGGCTGAGGCTTCACAGGTGGCTGAAGACCTTTGAGGCCCTTCCACATTCTTAATTCTCACCTATAAAATGGTAGGGATAATGAAATGTCTCTTCCCATTTTATCAGTTTTGGGAGTCAGGTGAGAAATAGATCTTGAAAGACTTTATAAATTTATTTATTTATTTATTTATTTGGTACTGGGAATCAAACTCAGGACCTTGCGCTTGCCAGGCAGGTGCTTGTGCTGCCAAACTATAACCCTGGCCCAAGGCTTTATAAATCGAAGCATTAAAATGCAAGAATGATCACTTTTATTGTTACAGTGATAGAATTAAAACATGATATTGGGAATGATGACTTGGTTTCCTTATTAGAGCTCTCTCACTTGTAGGCTTTTTCAGAATAATTTAAAAACCAACCAAACAAACAAAAACCAGAATAATTTAAAAGAGACTGCCTGGAAAAAAATAAAATTAAATTAAAAAAATAAATAAATAAATAAATAAAATAAAATAAAATAAAAGAGACTGCCTGATTGGCCAGGTGTGGTGGTGTACACCTGTGATCCCAGCACTCGGGAGGCTGAGGTAGAAGGATCTTCATGAGTTTGAGGCCAGCCTGGGCTACATAGTGAGACCTGTCTCAGAAAACAAAACAAAACAAGGGGGATTACCTGAACACATGTTAATGTTTGAAAGTAATCGTGTAGAGAGGGTCCGTGGACATAATGACTTTGTGAGACAGGGTCTTGTTATAGCTGGCTCTTCTTTCTTCTTGAGACAGGGTCTTGCTATGTAACCCAGACTGGCCTCAATACATGGCGATCCTCCTGCCTTAGTCTCGTAAGTGCTGGAATTACAGACGTGTGCCACAATGCCTGGTTTATAGCTGGGCTTGAACTCAAGATGATTTTGCTGCCTCTGTGATTTACAGATGTGCACCAGCACACCTGGCTTTAAATTTTTAAACTATTTTTTTTTTAAGACCTTTTTTTTTTCCCCAGTATTGGGAATCAAACTAATGACCTTGCACTTGCCTGACAAGCGCTGTGCCGCTGAGCTAAATCCCCAGCCCCCTTAAACTTCTTTTTAAAAGAAAATTATTTTGTTTCCTTTTCTAAATACTGTAGCTATCTGGATAGTCACACTCACAAGTGATTTGTGCTTTTCTTTTTAGTTTTTCAAGTGGTGGTGATGAGAAGTATGAGAAGACCAAGATTAAAAGTGGAGATCAGATGTTTTACAGATTCATGAAGAGAATTGCTGTTTGTCAGGAGCAGATTTTAAGGTAATAGAAAAACTTTTTTTTTTCTTTTCTGAAATTTAATAACACAAATATAAGGAGATGAAGGAGAATAAACTCAAAGAGCTGGGTGTGGTGACTCACCCCTGTAATCAATCCCAGCACTCAGGAGGCTGAGGCAGGAGGATCGCTGTTCAAGCCCAGCCTTAGCTACAAAATGAGTTCAAGGCCAGCCTGAAGTGCATAGCAAAACCCTGTCTCAAAAAGAAAAAAAAATATACAGTTGTTGCAACTAGGTTTTGTTACTGATTACTTTAGTTTATCAATTATTGTTAGAGAGGAATATTAAACCCCGAAATTCTCATGCACAAGGCTCTAGATGCAGTTTCCAGCACCACCAAAACAAGAAACTCCTGTAACTGCAGATATATTTTTTTCGACTTTTAATTCTGTCAGTTTCTGCCTTGTGAAGTTTGATGGTGTTTTAAGATATTTTGATGCATATTTGGAATTATTCTATTTATCTGACAAGTTCACCCTGTTATGACACATTCTTATTTCTGTTCATACTCCTTCCTTGGGATGTATTTTGCCTGATATTAATATGGCCACACAAGGTTTCTTTGGTTTAGTTTTTCTATGATTAATGTTTATCCGGACCTTTTTTTTTTTTGGTGATAGTGGTGGTGGTGGTGTTGAGGTGGAACACAGTGCCTCACACATGCTGAGCTAGCTAGTAATCTCCCACTGAGCTTACACCTCCATCCCCTATCCATGCTTTTACTTTGCGTCTTTTACTTTCATCTCTAAACATAAAATGACCAAAAAAATGATACACTGCCCACTTGTACCGTATTTCTTTTTTTAACTGGGCATAGTGGCGCATGCCTGTGATCCCAGTACTTAGGTGGCTGAGGCAGGAGGATCGTAGTGAAGTTGAGGCTAGCCTGGGTTTATATAGTAAGTTGAAGGCTAGCCTGAACTGTATAGTGAGACCCTATCTTTAACATTTTTTAAAATAAATACTAGAGTTCTTTTTTTTCTTTTGTTTGTATTGTGGTATTAGGTATTGAACCCAGGGCCTTTGTACTGAGCTACATTCTAGCCTGATTTTTTGTTTTGAGACAGGATCTCACTAAACTGCCCAGGCTGGGCTTGAATTTGCAATCTTGCCTCAGCTTCCCGCAGTGCTGCATTTACAGACGTGATCCACCATTCCTGGTTTGAACCATAGCTCGAGTGCTCTGTTTTTTGTTTTTTGGGTTTGTTTTTTTTAACTTTTTGAGACAGGGTCTCACTATGCAGTTCTGGCTGGCCTTGAGCTCACTTTATGGCTGAAGCTGACCTCAAACTCACAGCAATCCTCCTGACTCAGCCTCCCAGGTGCTGGGATTAGGTGGCGGGGAGTGCCATCAATCTCCATTTCTTACTTTTCTTCATGTGTTAAATTTTTCTCCTCCTCTGCATATCTGGTAACTTTGTTCTTTTGTTATTTGCCAGAAACTATGTGTTTAAGAACTGTAGAACCTGGAATAAACATTTACTCACTAAAAAACATGCTCCTCTGAAAGTCAGTAGTGTGGAGTTCTCAGTCCACCTACACTGCCCTTGAACTGGGTCTGCTTTTTTTTGGTACCCGGAATCAAACTCAGGATGTTGCGCTTGCCAGGAAGGCACTTGTGCCGCTGAGCTAATCCCTGGCTCTTGGGTGTGCGTTTTGGTGTGGCTTTTTTTTTATTCAGTTCTGCATTGGCTTCAGTGCCTTTATTGAGACCAAGGCAAGCATTGAGAGACTGCAGGGATCTTGCTGTAGTTTACAGACTTGCTAGTAGTTTTTTGACCTCGGGGGATTTTGATTTGCTGTCTTGATTTGCTCATAATAATTCTACAAGAGAGTAAGTTTGCAGGGGACAGCTTCGTTGTTGGCATGTGTCTTAAGCATGTGTGGCTTTGCTCCAGTTTTTCATTTCCCCGTCCTAGGTATTCCTGGAGCGGAGAGCCCCTCTTTCTGACCTGCCCTACCCCAGAAGTCTCCGTGGTTCCAGCCTGCAGTCACTGTGGTGGCCAAAGAACATTTGAGTTTCAGCTTATGCCAGCACTGGTCAGCATGCTCAGAAGTGCTAGTTCGGGTAAGAAGCCCTTTAGTAATTTTAGTTTGTAGATTTCTGGTATTATTTTGGAATTATATTAAAATGAAAAACTTTTGTTTAATTATAAAATACTGTAGCATATTATAGAAAATTTGGGAAATTAAAATTTTTTTTTAAGATTTATAACCCAAGGGGCTGGGGATTTAGCTCAGTAGCACAGCGCTTGCCTGGTAAGCACAAGGTCATGAGTTCGATTCCTGGTATCAGTGGAGGGACAGGGAGATTTATAACCCAGCCGGGTGTGCTAGCACACACCTGTAATTCCAGCACTTGGGAGGCTGAGGCAGGAGGATCGTTGCTAGTTCAAGACCAGCCTGGGCTACAGAGTGACCAGCCTGAGCTACATGGTGAGACCCTGTCTCAAAAAGACAAAAAAA